AGTGTTCGGTTGTTTGAACTCCTCTGTTTCCAGGTGAGGGCTTCTCCACTCCAGTGTGGAACCCTCCCTCCCTCTATGCTTCTTTCTGAGGATGTGTTTTATATTTTCCCAGAATCCTGTAGCGACCTAAAGGTGGAAAGGGAAGGAGATGGGAAACATCAAGTTCATGAGTTCCTTTCTCTGCCAGCTTTTTATGTTTTCAAAGGAAGAAAAAATTAATAAAAGTGTCCCTGACTTTACATTGACAATAAAAAAATGAGTGAATTTAGGACTAGAAAAAATACATAGAGAGAGAGATTTGTGTGTGTGTGTGTGTGTGTGTGTGTGTGTGTCTGTGTCTGTGTGTTTACCTCTATAAGAAAACTGGCTGGTCTTGAAAGGAATTTGATTCATAAAAATTCCAATGTAAATTAAAGCAGTTATGAGTCTGAGCCTGTTTCATTAGGAGAGAAAAAGAAGACTTATTTTTCCAGATGAATTTCATGATTGATTTTTCTATTTCTATGAAGAATGTCATTGGGATTTTGATTGGAATTGCATTAAATCTGTATTATGCTTTTGGTAGTATGGTCATTTTGACAATATTAATTCTGCCTATCCAAGAACAAGGTAGATCTTTCCATCTTCTAAGGTCTTCTTTAATTTCTTTCTTTAGTGTTCTGTAGTTTTCATTGCAGAGGTCTTTTACCTCTTTCATTAAGTTGATTCCCAAGTATTTTATTTTTTTGAGGTTACTGTAAATGGTGTGGTTTTCCTAATTTCTCTTTCAGAGGATTTGTCACTGATGAACAGAAATGCCTTTAATTTATGGGTGTTGATTTTATATCTTGCTCCTTTGCTGAATTCATTTGTTAGTTCTAGAAGTTTTCTGGTGGAATTTTTGAGTCTTCTAGGTATAGAATCATGTTGTCGGCAAATAGTGATAGTTTGAGTTATTCTTTTCCTATTCATATCCTTTTAATTTCTTTTGTCTGTCTAATTGCTCTGGCTAGAGTTTTAAGAACTATGTTAAATAGAAATTTTGAAAGAGGGCATCCCTGTCTTGTTCCAGTTTTTAGAGGAATGCTTTCAATTTTTCTCCATTTAGAATGATGTTGGCCTTGGCCTTAGCATAGATAACTTTTCATAAATTCCAACTCCTTCCTTTGGAAGATGTGCAAATTTGGGAAGGTTTTTCAAATTCTGAGCTCAAATCCTCTTCTGAAAATAAAGAGAAATAGATACTTTCTTTGAAGGACTGTTGAGAAAATGTTAAATGAGATAATGGACATAAAATTCCTAAAAGTGTTTCAATAAATGGGAATTTCCTCCTGTCTGAAGGTCTGAGCATGGGTGAGAAGTTACACATGTTGGGTAACACATGAGTCCTCCCTCTTCCATATATCTCTCTGTCCAACTTTCTATAAAGCCATTTGTAATCTAGCTCTGATAGGAATGAGATATGTATTTGGACTTTTCTCCAATAGGCCAAATAAGGACTCCATTATTATTATTATTATTATTATTATTATTATTTTAATCTGCTGTGCAGAGAGGTCAATGATATTCACTAATCAGTCAAACTTTTAGAGAAAATTATCAGTGAAGGTGCAGGGAGGCCTGGCACATCACAAACACAGCTTGGCTTGGTACCAGGACTGCACCAGATTTCTGGTTCCCAATGCTTATACTGTGCTCTCAATGGGCCTTCATCCTCAGTCAAGATCTCCATTGCTGCTGACCCCTACTTGAGGTGCTTTGAACCTTTCCTGCTCGGGTCCTGTTGCATGGTTTCCATCCTTGTGTTGGGAGACCCACTGTTTCTCTCTCTAGTTAGTCTTAACTCTAGGGATGGTCTCCTTGAACGCTCAATGAAAGTGATCACTTGTCTCCATTGTTCCTTAACTGGAAACAGACTTTTTGCTGGTCCTTTTACAATTCCTTATTTATGATTTATGTTTTCTTTTTTAAAAAAGAGTTTCGTTAAGCTTCCTAACACTCATTGAGTAGTTTCCACCTGTCAACCAATAATGAAGGCTGATAGGGACACTAGCCTAATTTGGTGACCTAAAGGGGGCTTAAAACTAATCATTACCACAGGTTGGTGGACACCTGGCATAGTAAAATGTACCCTGCAGTGATTTCCCTTTATGGGTTCCTAGGATTTCCAACCAAGAGTCATGATTGGAAATCCTAACCAAGCTAGTCAGAGCCTGAGGAAGGCTGCCAGGATAAGAGAACCAAGGACCCTTCCCCTTCTGCCCAGGTGAGTCCTACCTGCTAAGATAGCCTCTCAATTTTCAGGTGCAGTGGATACTATACCCCTCAAATGTCTACCCACTTCCCCTTCAAATTAGGATTTCATCTTATCTTTGAGAAAATCTCACTCTCAGTACCAACTTACAATGTGATTTTGACAGCTCCAAAATCTGGATACAGAAAAGAAGATCTCACTGAAACTGTTGGTCTCTTATAACTTTCTCCACCAATAGTAACACTTATTCCAGTGCACTGATGACTCTTATATTCTAATTTACAATGATGTTATACATTCTATCTGAGTGATTTTAGAGGCTTTTTTAAAAATTGCAAATGTGCTCCAGTGATTATCTAGTTTTCTGAGTTTTAGTGCCTGAGAAGTCCAGTGAGTCTTGGCCAAGGTTGATTTTGGCCCCTATCCTAGATGGCATGCAGCAATGTCCAGAGACAGTTTGGATTATCAGCATTTGAGGATCAGGAAGTTATAGCATCAATTGAGTAGAGGTTTAGTCTGAGTCTAAATATACTGCAATAAACAGACCCCCAAGAATTACCCGATCCATAAGGGTAGTTGTGCCAAAGCCAAGAATCCCTGCTTTAGTCATTTTCTAGGTTTGTCATAAATGATTAAATACCAGAGAGAAAATGTGACTTGTCACCTACCTAATGAGTGGCAAAGAATGAACTAGAATTTACCTCTCCTGACATTCAGATTACTTCATTCTTATTAAAATAAATACTAAATTTGAATACATACTTATATGCGTATTTGTGTCTTCAATAAATTGTGATGGCTCAGAGAGCAGAGAGTTGCCATGGCATTTTAGCAAGCATTTTCACATGGTTGTATTACAGTATCACTTTGAATGCTTCAATAGGGGTGCAAGATATTTATAGAAATGTTTGAGTGCTGGGCACAAATCACGAGCCACTCAAGCAGGAACAAACTTTATTTCCAAACTCCACCAGCACACTCCCCGGGAACTCTCCCTAACGCCACCCACGCGGCTCCTCCAGAAACACACCACACACCAACTGGAACTCCCTCCACCGGAACTTCACCAACCAACGCAAACTCTCCAGGAATCCCTGCGAGAGCTCAACCGGAACTCAACGGGAACTCCGCAAGAACTCAAAAGTACTGGCAAAATGCTAGGTGCCACCCCAACTCGGCTGTGGCTCTCAACAGAGTGCACAGGTGTCTATAGTTTCTCTCTTTGATCTTTCTTCATATAAAGGAGTGCTACAGAGGCATTAAATAATAGAACTGTGACATGGCATCAGCCAGTCTAGATTATCAGAAACAATTTTCTACAGATCAAACAGAACTAATAAAGAAGTGAGCCTGCCCTACTGAGGGTACATAGGACCGAGGAAGAGAAACTTGGAAAGAACAGGCATATGTTGAACTTGGCAAAGGGCAGATTAACAAATACTCCTTAACCTGAGACTACAAGAGTTCACAAGGAGATAATTACTGTGCTTAATTTTGTGAAGTCAAAAATCCAGGTCATTCTTCTGTATAAATCCAAATGTTCTTACAGATTTTGATTCACCTGCAAGTTCTAGAACTATTGTGTGCCATATCGTGTAGTGGTTGGATTGTGTCTGGTAGGACTGGACGGCTTCTTTCTCAAAAGGAGGTAGAGGTTTGAGAAGTAATTGAATTCCTGGAACTACGCAGATGAATGTCACTTTCACTGGTCCATTAGGGATTTCAAGTCTGTGATCTTGACAAATTCCAATCCACAGCAATGTTGTCACTACTCCTACAGAGAGAGCAACTTTAGCATGAACTCCTCAGCTCCCTCTGGCACTGGTCATGTGCTCAGAATGTCTCTGTGCAAGGCACTGGGAATTGCCCTTTTGAAGAAACTTCCTGTGGGATGACCATGAATTAGATGAAGGTCTATGACAGATGAAAAACCTCTATTAACCCAGCAGGTAAGGACGTCTGCATACAGCAAGCAGATGGCCTGCTGGAAAACTTTTCATATCACATGGCCGAGTCAAATAGAGTACACCCAGTTAAAGGTGAATTTGGGACAAATAACTAACTAAAAACTAAACTTTTTTTTTAATTAGAAATAAAATAGCTCTCCAAGACAAGAAGAAAATTTTGTTATGTGATTACCCCAAATGATAACCATTTTCCTATTCATACTTGAGAATTTCAAATGTATATTTCTAAACTGGACTCTTTAATAAAGTGTCTGACAGATGTTAAAGAACAATTCTTGGAAAAGTAAAACAATCCACAAAATCTCTATTTTTTTTTTTGGTTTCCAAATTGTTTTGGGTTGTACTTTTTCTTTTTTGTTTGTTTGTTTAATTTTTATTTAATTTTTATTTGTTTTAATTAGTTATACATGATAATAGAATGTGTTTATGCACTTTGATATGTCATACATAGATGGGATATGATTTCTTATTTTTCTGAGTGTACACATTGTAGAATCACAGTGGTCATACAGTCACATAAACACATAAAGTAATAATGAATGTTTCGTTCTACTATCCTTCCTATCCCCATGTCCCCTTCTCTCCCCTGCTTCACTGCCCTCTACCTAATCTAAGGTAACTATCTTCTTCTCTAGTACCCCCCCCCCCCCTTTGTGAATTAGCATCTGCATATTACAGAAAACATTCAGCCTTTGTGTTTTTTTATATTTTTATTTTTTATTAGGATTTTAATTCCAAGAAAGAGACATGTTAAAAGAAGATTAGAAATCTGATTTCATATTAGATCCTGATGAAGGGAATAAATTTAAATTAAGTCTTCTCCAAGGAGTTTTATTATTTGATTATCATACATAATTTGAAAACATCATTATATTCTTAATAGAAGCCAAGATCAACATTTAGGTGAAGCACTTCATTATTGCAAAACTCTAGAAATTTGGTATGCTGGTCTTGGTCAATGCTAGCTTTCTTAAAATTTGAAAATCTTCCTCGCTTCTTCTAACTTTTTCTCATCAGTGGGAGGCTTCCTCTGGCTGCCAGGCTGCAGGAATTTCTTCACACTGGGGAGGTTACTGATTCTGGTTTTCAGGGCCTGCAACACAAAAATCATAGTCTTAGGGAGGGGTCCAAAGTCTAAACCAACTATTAGCATAACCCCCGGGGAATCTGCACCTCTTCTAGACAAAAACAAACCAAGTCCCTCCATCAGCAACATTAGAAACAGATATCTAATAATAAAGAAGATTAGAGGGAGGAAACAGCTCAATGGCATATTTTTGAAAGGTATGTTTTAAGACTTTATTCAGTTTACAGTCTCCACTGCCCTCTTAGACCTGAATCCTATAGATTCATTTTTCTTTCTCAAAAAAGAGCAACATGTCGTTCAGATATCAACAGAGACAAGTATCCAAAAAAATTAAGACATGGGAAAATTGAGTTGGAAGTGAAGAAAAAATATTAAAGTTTAACCTGGGGCAAGTGTCAACCAATTTTCACACTGAGAGACAAAAGTTAGGATTGTTAAGAAATGGGAAACTAGATGAGGTGGGAAACTGTGGCGTGAGAAACACAGTGTCTAAGAGTCAGAACCAAAGGCAGGAGATCTGTGAAAGACACCTGCTCAGATGGACTCACTATGCAAAGATAAGGGCACACCTGGGATAAAGGAATCCCAGAGGAAATAGGAACAGAGCCCACAAGGAACAGGAGACCAGAGAGAGAGACAGAGTGGGACAGGGGGAGAGGGAGGGAGTGAGTGCATTGGGCCCTGGGTTCTCACAATAAAAGGCAAAATATTTTTCTTGAGTAGCATTCACCTCTCAGATTTCCTGAGATATATACCAAAATTCTCTCTTTTTTTCCCTTTGAGGCACTGGAGATTGAACTCAAGGACACTCTACCACTAAGCTACACCCCCATCCTGTTTTATTTTTATTTTGAGACAGGATCTCCATAAGTTGCACAGGCTGGCCTAGAACTGCCTCAGTCTCCTGAGTAGCTGGGATTACAAGTAGGTACCACCAAACCCAACTAACAAGATGTTTTTCATGCTTCAAATCCAGGGTTTAGAAGTTCACTCTGGAGGCCAAGGGGAGGGGTTGAAGGCCTTGAGAAGGCTGGAGGTTGGAACCTCACCAACTCAAAGGTTCAAATAATGAGATTCATGAAAGGAGATGAAGGGCTGCCTCTCTGAGGACTTGAGGTAGATCACCTTCAGCAGAGGGAAGTTGGCCAGAAGGCTGGAGTCAACCTCTTCCACATAGTAGAGCAGTTCAGTGAGGTGAATGTCAGCCCTGCTCAGCTTGTTGCCAACAAGGTAGTCTTGTCCATGGCTCTTCAATACCTGCAGAATACAAGGAGTGAGACTGTGAATACACGCACAGCTAGCTGGTACCTCGAGTTGTCCCAAACTTCCTCAGCCCAACTCAACCCCTCCTACCTCCTGGACAGGTGTGGAGCTGTAGACCTTTCTTCAGACCCCCTGACTCATGAGAGACAGTGCAAAGTGGGGCTCTGTTCCCTCCTCTGGTAAAGCCCAGAGGACCTTCATTCTCATCCCTACATCCCTGTGTCATTCATACCTCCCAATAGTACCTGCATCTTCTGCATGCACCAAGGGCTGACCATGTTCCTGTCTGCCCCACACCCCACAGAGTGAAGCCCTGAGATCTGAGAGTGTCCTCTCCCCTGCCTGGATCTTCCACACATGCCACGGGCTTAACATGTTTCTATCTGCTCCACACTCTAAAAGGATGCAGCCCTGAAGTTTCAGGATGTGTCTGACCTTCTACTTTCTCTCTCCCATGTCCTATGGTATTGGCTCCACCTTCATGGAAGCACCCTTCCCCCAGGGAAAGACAATCTTAGAGTTTGTGTTTTTCCTCTTGTCTGCTCTCATCATTTTTTTGTTATCTCTCTGGGATCTGAAGTAAACCTGGGTGAACTTGAATTCACTACCTCCTTTGCAAAATCAGCTGTAACTCCTAACGTACACTATGGTAAAATCTACATGAGGAATTCCCTAGGGGTGAACTGTACTGATATCTGCAAATTCCTTTGTAATGCATGAAAAATAATACGTTTAACTGATGGAGAGGGTTGTAGGGAGATGGACACATATGATGAAGTCAACATCATAGGATGTTAATTCTGCTATCTAGGTGGAACTATGCATTCATTAGACACTTATTCAACTTTTCTGGATGTATGAAATTGGCATAATAAAATGTATCAGAAATATGGTATTTACTTAAACATTCTATCAATGTGAAAATCATAGAGTATAAAAAGGAAACACATTTGCCATCACCACTTAAATATGAACCACTGTTAAATGTTTTGGTAAATGCCCTCCAGACTGTGTGTGTGTGTGTGTGTGTGTGTGTGTGTGTGTATGAGAGAGACAGAGAGAGAGAGAGAGAGAGAGAGAGAGAGAGAGAGAGAAAGCTAGTTCTACAATTTATTTGTTTGATAACTATATCATTTGTAATCATTTTTTGTTCTTAATTGTTACTAAGCATCAGTTACAATAGTTTTGTCCTTGAAATGTCCTCAATTTACCTTCAGAGGGAAATCTTAATCCAGCTAGGCACTATGTAATGATGGACCTTCATTTCCTTACTTTGCATGGTTTTCCCCTCAAGTCTGAAAGCCAGGTCCCCAAATCCTATAAAATCATTTTTTATACCATCTCTTCATCTGTCTCCTCCTGTCCATCTTCTGTCACTATCCTTGTTTAGAGACTTCTCATCCATCCTTGAAACTCTCCCAAATTCCTCTGATGAGCCAGTGTCATGTCTCCCTATTCACACGGGGTGCCAGAGTATTCTGCAATGCATCGTTTTCACCAGGTTGCTCTGGAATTAAAGCCCCAGGTGTTCTGCAGCATCTAGTCAACCTCTACTGTGGTTCAGAGTCTTCTACAGCCCAATTGCTGCGACCATGACATTCCATCAAATATTGAATTCTAGATTGGGGGCCTAATAAATTAAACTTTTGCTGAAAAAATGATAACTTTGGTATAACTACACAAGGCATCTTCACAGTCCATTTTTCATAAAATGCCTTGCAAGTCAGGGTATTGTTCTGGTGTTCAAGAAGCCTCTCTGGAAGTGAAAATCAATGTCTATAAATGCCCAGTTCTGTTTTTCTCTTGTCCACTGAACCCAGTGCCCCAAACTGATCAGCCTCACTTACTTTTTCAAAGACAGGGAGGTAACGATTTTTTGTTCTGTCTTTGATCAAGGCTATCTTGGCATCTTTTTGATCGGCAGGACATAGTGGCAGAAGCATGATCATTTCATTCAAATCTGCCATACCCTCTGTGTACATATCAATCCTGAAAGACAAAAACATCCAACAGTCAATGTTTCTTGCTTGAGATGTTAATGTTTAAAAACTTCAGATTGTAGAGCTTCAGACTGTTGCCAAATAATTCCCGTCCTGTGGGTGCTTTTTATGTGCTAGTCATTATGTTATGATTTTACTATGTGTCAACATTTATTTCTTAGAACAATCTATTGGGGTACCTATATATCTAAATTTTTTGTTCTACTCATCAAAGCATCAGTGGCTTGACCAGGGTCACTAATCAGAGACAACATAGTGGAATCCTACATTTAACTGCAGATAATACACATAGGGTTTACTTTCTCTGTTGTGGTTTGTTCTATGAAAAAAATAGCTAATGTCCCACCTTTGAGTAAGTCAAGGGGGCTCTGGCTCAGCTTCTCAAATACACTCCTGTTCCTCTCTCATCCTATTACATAGCCCAAGCTCATTTTCCTGTTCAGGGTTAGAAGTTCTCCCATTTATTTCTCATGAAACACTTTTCCACAATTTTCTCCACATGCTGTTTCCCCACCCTGGGCCTCTTTCCATTCCCCAGGACTCCACCTAAAATATCCCTTTATTTGGTGCAATATTTTATTCAGTTACAACTAATGCATATCTTAGGAGACCTTTATTTCTGCTATTTCAAACTGGACTTTCTACAATTCTTTTGAAGTAACAGCTTTTTTGTCATAATCACACACTATAATCGTTGCCCCTTTAAAGCATAGTGTTCAGCAGGTTTTAGTACATTCATAGAATTCTGGAAACATTAACATTCTCTAATTGCAGAACATTTCAATCACTCCAACTCCCCCTCCTCCCAATTATGTGCTTTGGTAGTGAGTCCCCTCCCCCACTCTTACAGCCCCAGGCAACTGCCAATCTATTTTCTGCCTCTATGGATATTAATGTGAATATTTTATATAAATGAATCACAGAATATAAGGCCTCTTTTGGGTGTGGTTTCTTTTACATAATGTTTTCAGAGTTTACCCATGTTGTAGATGAAACAGGAATTCATCTCTTCTCATGGTCAAATACTATTCCATTGTCTAGCTATAGCACATTTTATTCCTCCATTCATCCTTTGTTAGATATTTAAGATGCTATCATTTTTTAAAATTTATGAATAATGCTGCCAAGAACATTTCTATATGAATATTAGTAAAAATGTATTTCCATTTCTGATGGATATATACCTCATACTAGAATGGCTGGGTCATTGATAATTCTGTAATTCTTTGGAGGACCCCACAGTTTCATAAACAATTTTGTTTTTAATCAAGCAGCTATATCACAACAGGGAGGAAAATCCCACCCCAGCTTTAATGGTGCAGAATCAGCCTAGCTGCATTAGTACTTCATGAAACACTTGAGGAAACCCTGTCATCTTAGGTACCAGCCTCTACTCACTTTCCATGGAGCTGACCCATCCATAGCATAAGCTGGTAATTTAGGTTCCTAGTCATCATTGTTATAATTTCTGGAAATTAGGAATCAGTCCTTTGGATCCTTCCCTCCCCAGGACTCCTCCTTGACACCATCAAACATGATAGTTTTTGTCCTATGCTATTAGCTGGAGTCTAACCTCTAGGACTGAGCACCTAGAATCATGATTCTACTATCCTCATGACTTCATGGCTTATCAGTGTTTAAAACTCTGTCCCTGTGCTGAGTCTGAGAACATCATCCTCTGCTATAATGACACTCATTGAACCTACTCCAAGATTCCTCTTCCCTCATATCCACAGGACTCTGCCATATTGTATTTGCCCAGCCCAGCCTGATGCCAGTCATGATCCGGCTGTCATGGTCCTGTTCACCCAAGAAAGAGCCTAAATCTTTCCCTTGTTATCTCTTGGTGTGAGAACAGAAAATACGCCATACAGGACTCTCTCCTTCATGTCCTTCCCGTAGAGGTTGTGTTTGGTGGCAATGTAGTTGAGAATGGCTCTGGTCTGCACCAGCTTCATCCCATCGATCTCCACCATGGGTACCTGCTGGAACATCAAACTCCCATCTTGTGGAAAAGAGAAAAGGAAAAAGAGAATGAAATGTCTGTGGGTCCCATTCATTCATGATGAGAAAATGTTCCTTGAAATGACTGAAGATACAAATGGAAAAAAAAATATATTGTCTGGTAACTTTTCAAGTAAAATAGCATTTTATTTTTAGCTTCCTATAGTCCTTTTTCCTCACCTATTTTTTTACTTTTTAGCTTATTTTATTTGTCTTTTATTCCCATCTAAATACATACTAAGTGCCTGTGTGTGTGTGTGTGTGTGTGTGTGTGTGTGTTTAATACATTTTCATGGATATTTTAGGAAGGTTAGGAGGGGCTGTGGCAGGGCTGCCAGCCAGATGTCATTTTAAGTGGGAAGCTTCCAAATTAAGTCTCACGGTGTTCTTGACATTTAAGATAGGTTCTGAGAGTTTTTTATGCTGAGGTTCCTTTCTAGGCTCTTTCAAGTCTTCAGTTTTGCTGGGATATTGTGACAAGTCATAAATTAAAAAACTCAAGGTAATTGCCCCATCTATTTCCCCTCCTGCCATCTAATGCATATCCGTGTGTGTGCTTGGATGAGAGGACACAGTAGGATCCTGAGCTGATGACCACAAGGCACGGGAATGATTCCTTAGCAATTCTCAGAGAGGTTCAGCCCTTTTTAACCCTGCGAGAGTTGCCAGATCTTTTCAAGGAGTCCCACCCTTACATTTTACCCAGACTCTACCTCTCTACCATCCCTAGCTACCACCCCACATACACCATATCATTGCCTGGTATTTCAGCCTTTTGCTGGACACCTTCATCAAGAACATTCAGATGGTCTTACCATTTTTTAACTTATCCAAATCTTCTGGAGATTCTATAAGCTTCTCTTCAAACTGGAAACAGAAAAGGTCAAGAAGTTCTTATTGTTCACTGCATAACCTCATAGCCTTTAAAACTTAATTAGTCCCTGTTCAGTAATTGATATGGAGAGGTTAAAATTTCTTGAGTTTGGCAGTACACACAGAAGAGTCTGATCAGGACCACTTGGAACTTCAGATTAGCTCTACTAAGTAAAGGGCATGATTTTTAAAAAGGGATAGAAATGTAGCCCAATGCTAAAACACCACCAAATCCAATCCCTGGTACCATATAAAAAGAGAGATATGGTACTGAAGATCTATATCTATATCTATATCTATATCTGCCTGGAATAGCACTACAGTATTTTGAGGTTTTGTGCACTTGCTTCTTTATGAAATTCAGAAAGGATCAAGCTAAAAAGTCTCAGGCATTTATGAAGGAATTGAGAAAGTAATCCCGTATGAGGGCAAGGGAGCACATTAAAAATTCCTTTCACAGAACGTGACCACACCCTTTAACCATCCTCTTCTGCTCCCACTCACAGAACAAAATCTCTCCCTGAGAGTGTTCACTTCCTTCCCACGAAACCCCTTCTGCAGTTGCTGGGTCCCTCTGATCTGACTAAAAATCGTTTTTCCAGACACTAGTATGGCAATATGTAAATCAATGGATGTGTAACTGATGTGATTCTGCAATCTGTATATGGGGTAAAAATGGGAGCTCATAACCCACTTGAATCAAATTGTGAAATATGATATATCAAGAACTATGTAATGTTTTGAACAGCCAACAATAAAAAAATAAATAAATAAAAAAAATAAAAATCGTTTTTCCTAGTGATGCCACTAGGGGGAAGCACTCAACACAGAGCCTTACCAGTTTTTCCTATTCAAAAGTTAGAAGGAATGGCCTTTTTTCTTTCTTTCTTTTTTTATTTGTTATTTTTAGATATACAGGACAGTAGAGTGTATTTGACATATTATATATACAGAGTACAACTTCCCATTCTTGTGGTTGAACTTGATGTGCAGTTGACACTGGTCATGTATTCATATGTGAACATCGGAAAGTTATGCCTGACTCATTTTACTGTCTTTCCTATCCCTATTCCCCTCCTTTCCCTTCATTCCCCTTTGTCTAATCCAGTGAACTTCTATTCTTCCCTCCTCCCACTTTATTGTGTGTTAGATCCACATATCAGAGAGAACATTGGCCTTTGGTTTGGGGGGACTAGCTTATTTCACATAGCATGATAGTCTCTAGTTCTATCCATTTACTGGCAAATGCCATAATTTCATTTTTCTTTATGGCTGAGTAATATTCCATTGTGTGTATATATACCACAATTTCTTTATCCATTCATCTGTTGAAGGTCACCTAGGTTGGTTCCATAGCTTAGCCACTGTGAATTGAGCTGCTATAAACATTGATGTGGTTGTATCACTATAGTATGCTTTTTTTAAGTCCTTTGGGTATATATGCTGAGGAGTGGGATAACTGGATCAAATGGTGGTTCCATTCCAGCAATGGCCTTTTAACCAGGTAAAATGCTTGTTCCCACTCTTCATTTAAGTCCCAATTTGTCTGCATCCTCACATATATGCAGGCTGCCTGAAGATAGGAACTCTGTCTGCCTTGTTCACCATGTGTCCTCAGGACCCAGCACAGAACCTAGCATTTCATGGGTGCTCAACAAAATAATTACTAAACAGATGTGTTCCACTGTTAAAGGCCGGTTGTTACTCTCTACTCCCTCCCACCTCTCATCTGTGTTTTTATTTTTAATTTAATTACTTTTAGTTTTACACATTTTACCTTTATATTGTGTGAGTTTTGGTACATATAAAAATACACATAAAACACAAGCATCTTCCTCATATCAGTCACCAGTTCCAGTAATTACCAACTCACACTGATCTTATTTCCTCCCCGTGTCCATCCTCTCTCTCACTTTGGTCATGTGAAATAAGTCTGAGGTATCATGTGATCTCATCCTAAATACTTCAGGGTGTCTCTAAAACTAAGAACTATTTAAAAAAATAACAATATCATACCTAAAATCACACAAAAAACTCACTAAAAATTAACAATTTTAAAATTTCACTTGATACCTATTCAATATTCCAGTTTCTAATTGCTTCTGTCACAAACTATATTTTAAAGTTCATTTAAATGCAAATGAATTTCACACACTGTGATTATTTGATGTCTCTGGTTTCTTTTAAAAATATCTTTTAATACAATCAGAGTACATTATTTACATTATTCTATATAATTAAAATACATTTACAGAATATACTTTAATTGTTCATGTGGCCCTTTGCCAGGAAGATTTTTGTCATTTCCCTTTGGTCAATCAGTCAATTTCTTTCATAATAACGGGACTTTTTTATTTAAGGCAAACCATTCACAGGTTATCTAGTATGGAACTCTCCTAGTTTAGAAAAGTATGTTGATATAGTCAATTTTAGATCCAACATAAGGTAACCTAACTTAGAACCTACCTCCACTCCAGCTGCTGCCAAGAGCCACCGAATGCACTCCATTCTGCCCCGGCTATCGAAGTAATGAAGCACAGGCTTCCCCGCCATATTAGCAGTCTCTCTTGTTTCACTAAATATGAATGAATGAATGAGTACACAGAAGAAAGAGGTACTTTAATTTATGGCTAATAATCCAACAATACAAAAAAATTCTGCCTTCTACATGGAAGGATTGCTGGAGTCCCGGGAAGATCTTCCTTGGTCCACTCCTGAAATTGTACCAAGCCACTCTCATATTGCTATTTGCCCTCATTTTGAGGATATGAACAGAGCAGGTTGGATCCTACACCTGAAGGACCTGACAGCCCGGAAGGAGGCCTCAAAAACCACAGGACACAGGACATAGTGTCTGGCAGGAAGAAGGGGACAGGAGCAAAGTTACTCTCCAGCTCTTTGGCTCCTGTGCTGCATTTATTCAAAAGCATTAAAATGAGGTTCAGCTTCCCTGACTGCAGCCCAAACCTAAATTCTCCCCACAGGAAAAGGTGCTTATTTCTTTTTTATACTGAAATTCCGTTTTTCCACTACTGAACTTTATTTTACAATCCAAGAAAGGAGTATTTATATCATGGGGAACACATTTTGTATCTACCATGTAACAGGCAATTTCTCATTTTTATCTTCATTTAGTCCTCATAAAATTATTTGATATAGATTTTTTATTATTCTAAGTTTGCAAAAGAAGATATTTATATCTATACAGGTTACTGATATGGTAAACCTGGCATTCAAATACACTTTTATGCCAGGTACACTGGCCCATAACTGTTATCCCAGTGACCTGAGAGGCTAAGGCAAGAGGATGGCAAGTTTGAGGCCAGCCTCAGCAACTTAGTGAGAGTCTGTCTCAAAATAAAAAAGGGCTAAGGATGTGGCTCAGCGGTAAAGTGCATCTGGGTTCAATTGCCAAAACCCTAATACCAAAAAAAATAAAAAAGTGTGTGTGTGTGTGTGTATATATATATATATATATATATATATATATATATATATATATATATATACTTTTATTCGTCAAGTACACTTTTATTGGTCCCCCAAACCTTGGAACTTCTCTAGATCAGCATTTTGCAAACTTTGGATCATGACTTCTTTGTGGGTTGTAAAATCAATACCATGGTTTTTCAGATAGTGTTTTAAAGTTTCATCATCATAGAAAACATCAAGGTGTGAGCCATATATGGCAACCGTCAGTGTTTTATGGTGAAACCTTGATTTTGTTTCCAATTATCTTATGAGGTTGTATATGTAACTGTGCTCTGTGTTGGTGTAAATGTAAGAGAGAAACTTGGCTGGGACTAGCCAAAGAAATCTGTTGCCTATCCCCAGCTTTTCTTCACTGCAGACATTTTAGGCTGGATAATTCTTTGTTGCAGGAAACTATCCTGTACATTGGAGTTTATTTACTAAGCAGCATCCAAAAGCATAGTTCTGAACTTCCCTCCACCGTCCAATCATGACAACCCAAAACATCTCTAGGCTTTGCCAAATCTCCTTTAGGTCTGCAAAATCACCCCTGGCTGAGAATCACTGCTGTTTCCCAAGCTGCTTGGGAGAACAGCTCAGAGAAGGGAGCCAGAAAGAGCAGGTCCCACAGTGGCCAGGCAAGTTCAGCAATGGGGTGAGGCAAGTTTCATCAGGACTGTGAATACAAAAGCCCAGAGTTCATTAAAAAGCAAAGATTCAATTGCCTTGGTTAGTGGGAGACAATTTCAAATCTATTTTTAATTGCTAGACCTTTGGTCAGAAAACACTTTAAAATGTGTTTTGCAAGATTTTGTGGTTGTTCAGTTTTTAGCACATATATATTTATCTCTACGCAGTAGTTTTTTTTTAAAATATATTTTTCAAAACTTTATTTTATTTGTTTATTTTGTATGAGGTTCTGAGGATCAAACCCAGTGCCTCACCCATGTTAGGCAAGTGCTCTACCACTGAGCTATTATGTGTGAAATTTGATTTTTTCTGTATGTCAAAATCATTTAAATGTGCCAGGGGAAATTTAGTGTAATCTTTTTCTTTCCTTCTTTCTTTTCTTTTTTTATTGCCTTCTTTCTGCTTTCCATGTAAATATATTGCTCTTCTTTAAAAGTTTCGTTCAAACTTTCTAACATTCATAGAACAGCTTCCACATATCAAGCATGTGAAGCAGTGATAATGGTTGGAAGGAGCAAGATACTAGTCTGCTTTGGTCCCTGCCCCCATCTAGTCAGGACCACAGGCTTGAAGACACCTGACGCAGCAGAATGCACCCTGCAAAATGTGTGGCTGTCCTTTATGGATTCCTGAGAATTTGACCTAAGACTCATCACTCAAGCAAGCCCGAGCCAGGGTAGAAGGATGCCAGGCTGAGATGAAGAGTCTGCCCTTTCTGCCTAGGTTAGTACCATCCAGCCGAAGCAGCTTTCTAACTCCCTGTGTGTCTGCCTTCCTACCCTTAGATTAGGGTTGTTCCTCATGGGTATATAAAAAAGCTGCTGGTAGCAATACTAGAGTGAGTCCCCTTCATTACATTTTAATCTCTTCTCCCACAGAAGATTCTGGGTATTTGGGGTTGGTTTTTTTTTTCCTCCATGAATTCTGGTTTGCCCTGCACAGGCCCTAACACGCATGTGGCCTTTCACAAGGTCTGAGATTCTGAGGCTTTCTTATATAAAAAAAATTCATTTTATTCTTTTTATGTTGACAACTATTTGGGGGCACTAGTGACTGTCACTTGTTACTTAGTGACTGTATGTGCCTCATGAAAACCAATTATACCTTCACAGATAGATCAAGCTCTCCCTTTAAGAATTCCCAAGTTGTAGACTTGGATGGGATCTGAGACGTCAGTTAGCCCTTCCTCCAAACTGGTAATGAATACTTTAAACTCTAGAAAGAGTGTGTGATTTTCCACTTAGCTAGTTAAGATAAAGTCTGGATTTTAACCTAGTTCTGATATTCAGAGTAGTTTCCTTCTGCTATAGCTTATTTTTGAATTTTCCCAGCCTGCAAAGGTTACTATTTTCTTCCTTCCAAGAACACACACTAAATTGTGAGCCCATGAAGCAGAGAAGTTGTCAGTCTTTTAGCACTGTACATTGTGCCATGTTCGGTCCAAAATCTGTAGCTGTTATTCTGCTTTATAGCATTTCCTTTAGAGGAATCATTATTTAAGAATACACTTAGTATAGAGCAAAAATATAATAAGCTAGGATTATTGTAATAAAATAACCAATTCTGGTTATAAAAACTGCCATTCTGACATTTAAACAGAATAATTAAAGCAATGGAAGTTTCCTACCTAGTAGAAACAAAGAGGTTAAGTTCTTTGGTAGCATAGCCCAGGGGCATATTTAACTTGGCAAATAAAAGGTATTTCCAAATTCTCTTTTGGACTGGAAACATGACAGTTCAAAAGTTGGGCGTTGTTCTTTAGTTCTAAGAAATAAAGCCAGGTCCACTTGCCTTACTGCCCCCTAAAGTCCGATACATTTAGATTCATTTGTGATTTTGAGAATTTAAGCTCTGCCCACCCTTTGGTTTCAGTAGCATTGAAGGAGAGGAAGAGGAGGAGAAAGGACGAAGACAAAGAGAAGGAGAGGAAGAAGGAAGAGGAGAGGGAGCAGGTGATGGTGATGCAGGAAGAAGAACTTGCTACTTGGTGCCCAATTACAATGTAATATATGAACAACAAACACGTGAAGTCAGTTAGGAGAGTGCCATTCAGATTCTGATTGGCAGTCACTGATTACTGGTTTCCAAACTGGATATTCTACTTCAAGAGCCATACAACCACCTAGATATATTTTCTTTTCATTGTTCAAGTGGTGCTCCCATCATAATTGTGTATCAAGTCCTATATGAGTCACACTAATACATTCTTTAAATGGAGAACACAACTTTAGCGTCAGCTCCTACACACCAGCAGGCACTGAGAAGCAAGCACTTTCAGATCACTGATAATGACACCATTTGCGCTTTTCTCCTAGCATCAAATTCTCTGTCTTTTTCTTCTGAATTCTTGGATATTATTTTTCCTTAAAGAACTAATAGACAACATTTCTTTTCCCCTGAGTATACAAAGAAAGCAATATAAGAACATAAAATGCTCACACAAAGTACCACATTTAAAAATGTTTTCCTAGTGAAGCAGGCACGAGAACATTCACGAAGATTTTAAAAAGGGAGTACCAACCTGATTCAAGTGCAGGCTGCCTGGCTGCTGCGCTCCTCTAGGCCAGCTCTGAGTGGGTGTGTTAGCAGCTTTAATATGCTAACAACCCTTGCCCTCTGAACATGGGTGGGGTCCAGTGGGGAACAGCCACTCCCCTGGCTTTCATGTTTCCAGAATTTTATGCTAGATTAGAAAGAAAATGGCAAATTTTGTCCTTTAGAATTATCAATGTATGTGTTAACAAAGGATTTTAAGTCTGTCCTAGAAGGCCATGGTCACTGGACATCTGTTTTCTTAAGACACTACTTTCAAAAGATTTCATTAAATAGACTGTAAAGTTTAGGGCAGATTAAAAAAAAAAAAAAAGAATAAATTCATGGGGGAAGAAAAACCTCAATGTAAGAAAGTGCTATCAGGAAAGGAATTTGATAAGAGTGGGAGGGAGCAATCTACTTTTGTAGAAAGGGCTAAACTGTGGATTCTGTTGCATAATCCATAGGCCCAAGGAATCTGGTTGAGTTATCCAAGCCCCATGGATTGGCTGCCTGGTTGGGGTCATTAGCAGACCCTTATCTTATTGGCTGCACTCTAGCTCCTCTTGCCTGAGCCTTTGCACACACTGTTTACTCTGTTTGGAACACTCCTGTCCCCTGCCCTGGGGTCCTGTGCCCCCTCTATCATATCACTCTTGGACTTGCCATGTTTAATACCTGCTTTCCCCCTGTCAACTGTGAGTTCCTGGGGGCATGACTGCCAATCATGGCTGACCAAAGTGCCCAGTACATAGAGGGAGCTTAATGAATATTCATAACTTCCCTTTTATAATAGAAATTCACTAACATGTTTAAATGCAGCAAGAACATTATGATAGGCTTAGATGTACCCTTCACTTTGCTTCAATGATTTTCGACAAAATTTGAAAAGAATCTCAGATTTCATTTCATTTTATTTCATCAACAAATCATTTAAGGTGTATCTTTTAATTTTTTGAAATTATTTCGATTATGGAAAAAAATTATAAAACTGGTATAGAGTTCCAAGATACCATTTACCTCGTGGGTCCTCTAATATAAACATCTTACAATACCATAGTACAATGATCAAAATCAGGAATTCAACAATAGGTAATGCTATTTATTAAACTGCAGACTTGCTTGGATTCCATCACTTTTTCAATTGGGATTTTTTTTCTAGACAAGGATGTCATCTGATACCCCACACTATATTTAGTTGTCATATCTACTTAGCCACCTCTATCTGTGACAGGCTATCCTTCTCCTTTATCATCTTAGCATTTTTAAAGAGAAATGGTCAATTACTTTGTGGACTGTGCCTAAGTTTGCATCTCCCTGATGTTTTCTTGTGGATTGGCTGAGAATACATTTTACGCAAAATATCATGGAAGTTACTCTATTACCTTCTCAGTGCTTGGTTTCTAGACATCATTTTCCAGACATAACCTGTCTCATACTTGTCAGTGTTTACCTTGATCTCTTGATTAAAGGCATGTCTTCCAGGGTTGACCCATTGTAGTTACAAGCTATCCCTTCGGAATGAATAAATATCTTATGGAGAGACTTTGTTACTAGGTAAATATTCTGCTTCTGAATAAGCTTTTATCTACTGGCTACATAGCATTCATTATAGATCTTGTCTACAGCAAATATTACCAGAGTGTTTATCAGTGATTTTTTTTTTTCTTTTCTTTTTTTTTTTGGTGGTCCTGGGGACTGAACCCAGGGCCTTGTGTGTGCAAGGCAAGCACTCTACCAACTGAGCTATATCCACAGCCCTCTAAACAGTGATTTTTATTTCCTTCATTTATTTTATAATTAATAACTGGGATTGTTCTGTAAAGTAAAGCTATCCCTTCTCCTTTGCTCAGTTATTTATATAACCAAGTAAATATATTATTTGGATATATGTATAACCAACATATATGGTGTTGCTCAAATCATTCCAGCTTTGGCCTTTAGAGCTCCTTCATCTTGGCTCTGGGTCTTTTATGACAAGCTTTCCCTTTTTGTGAGCTTCTCCAGCGACTTTTTGTAGCAAAAAATGTTCCAGGCTTATCTTTCTTTCTTCTGCCCCAGCCCTGAACTCAGTCATTCTCAAAAATTCCTCATCTCTTTTTACTGGGGACCTTTTGTGCACTCATTGCTTAGAGGGGTTTCAATGCTCCTCTTCTTTCTTACCTGAAAGGCAGCACATCACAGCTATATTTTTGCACTTTGTGTTTTGTTGTTGTTATGTTCACTTAATGACAGATCACAGAACTCATCTCCATCTTAGTTCACAAAGCACTTTCTTATTTAGTCATTTATTTGTTTATTTGTGTTACAGCTTCAAAATAAGTATCTCATTGTTTGCATGCATCATATTTTTATGCCATCTCTCACCTGTGTGGGGGCATTTAGGATTTTTCCAATGTTGAGGACTTACAAACAATACTTTAATAAATATCATTACACATGTATTTTTGTATTGTTGAAGGTACATTTTACTAAAATATATGCTCCTTCAAAATTAAGTACTTTTTTCCTCTAGATATAACATTACTATTCCACTATAATATTATATAGTGGAATGAGACTATCTGAAAAAGGCACCATTTGCATCACAAGGGCTGTCTATATCCAATTCTCTGGTGCCACTATAAAAGGAGGGTATGGGCCCAAGCCTTGCCTGTCAGGGTTCCCAAGGGCCTAGTTATCAAGGGACATCCAGGAAAGTTGAACAAGCAGATGAAATATGTGCCAGGTACTATCTACATGATGTCAAGAGAGGTCATGTTTTCATTTTACAGATAAGATGTCAGAACCTCAGAAAGATAAGGACTTGCTGAATCATTCAGCTTATAACAGCCAGATCTCAGGTTTTCACATGGCTAAAGTCCATGCTTTCTTCACAGACCTCTCACTCAAAGGGGAAGAAGCAAACCATCTAGTGCTTGAGAATTTGAATAAAAACACCACCCCTGGAAGCAAGTGAGGGTCTCAAACCAAAGCAGGCAGAGACGGAGGAGGCCTCCCATAGAGACAACGGCAAGTGGGGATGGGAGGTGACAGAACATTTACCCATCTAGAGACAGTGGTGATCTATTCAGAGAGCCAAGTTCACCTGTGTGTTTGGGAAAATGGAGTTGCAAACTTGAAGGTGCATACAATGTCTTTTAAAATGAAGATTCTGATCGGTAGGGATAGGCTGGGTCCTGAGACTGCACTTCTAGTAAGTTCCCAGGTGCAGCCCTCGGTCCTGTCCAGGGCTTCACTGTAGATTATGGGTGTAAGCCGCGAAAGCCGAACCAACAGAAGATTGTGTGCTCTAGATGAAGCCGCCCACTCCTAGGGTCGGGGACAGAGGCTCTGGTGGACAACAAATGAGGGGTTCACAAGTATCCTTGCCTTAGAAGCAAGGAATGTCGGTCATCTGTTGCTGCTGCAAGAGTTCAGCTGTGAGTCTGAATTATTTACTTTTGGCAAAAAACACAGATATATTGGGCCAGAGCTGTTGACCTGGAAGTGGGCTTTTCTCTTAGCAGAAATGTTTGTTAATTCCCAGAGTGGTTGGACTGACCGTGGGCTGCAGAGTTTTCTTCTCTTACAGACATTTGTGTTTGAGCATGGGGAGGATCTCACTCTGCCTTTCCTTCTCCACAGGAAAAGAACTCTTTCCCAACAATTCCACTTTTCAAAGCATAATTCTTTTAAATGACAATGAACAGAACCAAATGGTAGGACCAGACCCACTAGGGCCATAATGAGCAACCCCCACCCCCACCTTCCCCCAGTGTAGCAAGTCTGAGCAAACATTCCAGAGGAGGGAGGCCTCCCTGCCCAGGACCAGCCATGAGGCTCCTATTGAACACACCTCTCTTCCCAATTTAAAAGCCTCCAACATCCTATTTAGCCAACTCAGAAACAGATGTTATCTTCAAAACCACCCACAAAAATCTCTGTTCTTCTTTTCTAGGTTGAGAAAGAAGAAAATTGAGCTCTCCTGAAGTTCCACTATGTGCCAGGCATCATGCCTAAACCTATCATGTGGTTCATCTGTGTGCACACACACGTCCATCTTGATGCTAGAGTCAGGAAGCAGCTTTTGATTTTTAAAAAATGCTTGAACTCATTTCTCTTGGAGATGAATGTCTACCTTTTCTATCATCTATAGATAAGCTAGACATTTTGAGGGTATCTTTGTCTTTTGTTTTTTCTCAAAGTGGAGGCCCTAATTAAATAGAAGATGGATTTTAGAAATTGTTCTGGGAGGATATAAGCTTTGTTTCATCCACTACCCAGTTGTGCCCTGGCAGTGGGGTAGGTTGCAGACAGGACAAAGAAAGTGCCCAAAGGAAGCTTTGGAAACATGTGGTTTTCTGGTGGAAGCTTACAAGAGGTCCCTGACTATTCCAAGAAGAATTTAGTCGTGACATTGTGACAGCACCTCTGTCCCCCAGGGTGCTTTGCCAAGAAACACATTCTCTCTCTCATGATGTTTTGGTCAATGGCAGCAGACTGGATGGGTGACGTATCCCCTTTCCACAGAGCCCTCAGCTCCGTGCCCATCTTCACTCAGAGAGGGGTTTTTATATGTTAGGCTGCAGAAGCCGTGACATCGTCAGCATTAGTGAGCTTAGTTTGCTTGTCTGACCAGCATTCCAAGGAGCAATTCTCCCAGCATACATGTAAGAAAGTAGCTTTCTACAGATAACATGGACTTTCCCTAGGTCCCAGTGTGCATGAGACAGTGTTCTTCAAGATAATATGTATCTGGGCTTTCTGATCCAGGCTTGCTCTCATTGTTCCCTTAACTTGGCTAGGATTTTTGGAAACAGAAAGGAAGCATTCAGTACATGGTGTTTTACTGTTCCCCTTTGCTTTAGGGATGGTACAATCTTCAACGTTGAAAATCCTTTGCAATCCCATTCCCTAGAAGGGATGGCTCTTCCCTGTAGTGGAAGTGTCTCTGGAAAGCCATGTTTTTCTAACTGTGGCATCTCTTCTAGGCCTGGGATTCTCTGTCTCTTGTTTCACACTTGGCAGGATGCTTTGTCACTACATAAAGCTGTTCTCTATGATGCCATCTGGGAATAATAAATGCAACTATAGTTTTAGATTTGATCACAAAGACTTAAAAAGAAAAGCAGTTGAAATAACAAGATGATTACAGGATTGTTTTGCAATTGTACAGAAATATGGGAGCTTAAAGACTACTAGGAAACAACAGCTACTTTTACCTATCTGTTACACAGCTTAAAGCAGAACTTGAGAGTTCTCCATATCCCCTTTCCACTGTACTTGCTTCCTTGTCATGCATGATTTAATCACAATGCAGGTCCTTCTGCCCCCTTGACCTTCCTCTGCTATTGTGTTTGTAATAGGCACAGTAAAACCAAGCCAGACCTGTGCTCAAATCTCCTGTCAACAATTTACTTGCTCTAATTAGGCAAAAGAAAGAAATTAAAGGAATATGAATAGGAAAAGAAGAGCTCAAAATATGCTGGCCAACAACATGAGCTTATATTTACAACCCCCTCCTAAAAAAAAAAAAAAAAACCAAACTTCACACCAGAAAACTTCCAGAACTCATAAACAAATTCAACAAAGTAGCAGGATACAAAATTAACACCCATAAATCAATTGCATTTCTATACTCCAACGACAAATCAGCTGAAAGAGAAATTAAGAAAACTATCCCATTCACAAAAGTCTCAAACAAACAACAACAAAACTCAGAATCAATCTAACAAAAAGGTGAAATACCTCTGCAATGAAAATTACAAAACACTAAAGGAAGAAGTTGAAGAAGACCTTAGAAGATGGAAAGCTCTCTCATGCTCTTGATGTCAAGATGGCCATACTACCAAAAGTGCTACACAAATTTAGTGGAGTTCCCATCAGCATTCTAATGATATTCTTCATAGATATAGGAAAAGCAGTCATGAAATTCATCTGGAAAAATAAGAGGCTCAGAATAACCAAAACAATCTTTATAGAGAAAAATAAAGCAGGAGGCACCACAATACCAGAACTTAAATTATATTACAGAGCTATAGTAACAAAAACAACATGATATTGGCACAAAACAGACACAAAGACCAATGGAACAGAACAGAAGACACAGAGACAAACCCACAAAAATACAGTTGCCTCACACTTGGTAAAGGCACCAAAAACATGCATTGAAGAAAAGATAGCCTCTTCAACAAAGGTGATGGGAAAACTGGAAATCTATATGTAGTAGAATGAAATTAAACCCCTATCTCTCACCATGCACAAAACTCAACTCAAAGTGGATCAAGGACTTGGGAATAAAACCAGAGACCTTGCACCTAATAGAAGAAGTAGACCCAAATCTCCATCATGTCAGATTAGGCCCCAACTTCCTATGGTGCAAGAATTAAAACCAAGAATCAATAAATGGGATGGATTCAAACTAAAAAGCTTCTTCTCAGCAAAAGAAACAATCAATGAGGTGAATAGAGACCCTACAGAATGGGAGAAAATCTTTACCACAAGCATATCAGATAGAGCACTAATTTCTAGGATATATAAAGAGCTCAAATATTTTAACACCAAGAAAACAAATAACCCAATCAATAAATGGGCCAACAAACTGAACAGACATTTCTCAGAAGATGATATACAATCAATCAACAAATATATGAAAAAATGTTCAACATCTCTAGCAATTAGAGAAATGCAAATCAAAACTACACTTAAGATTTCATCTCACTCCAGTCAGAATGGAAGCTATTAGGAATATAAACAACAATGAATTTTGGCAAGGATTTGGGGGAAAAGGCACACTCATACACTGCTGGTGGGACTGCAAATTGGTGCAGCCAATATGGAAAGCAGTACGGAGATTTCTTGGAAAATTGGGAATGAAACCACCATTGACCCAGCTATCCCTCTCCTAGGACTATACCCAAAGGACTTAAAAACAGCATACTACAGGGACACAGCTACATCAATGTTTATAGCAGCACAATTCACAATAGCTAAACTGTGGAACCAACATAGATGTTCTTCAGTAGATGAATGGATAAAAAATGTGGTATATATACACAATGGAATACTATTCAGCATTAAAAGAGAATAAAATCATGGTATTTGCAGGTAAATGGATGGAGTTGGAGAATATAAGGCTAAGTGAAGTTAACCAATCCCAATAAACCAAATAACAAATGTTTTTTCTGATATAAGGATGATGATTCATAATTGTATATGTAGGGGGACCATGGGAGGATTATATGAACTCTAGACAGAGCAAAGTGCAGAAAAGAGAAGGGAGGGGACATAGGAGTAGGAAAGACTGTGGAATGAGATGGACATCATTACCCTAAGTACATGTATGAAGATATGAATGATGTGACTCTACTTTGTGTACAACCAGAGATATAAAAAAATGTGCTCTACATGTGTAATATGAATTGTAATGCATTCTGCTGTCATACATAACAAATCAGAATATGAAAAAGATATATATGAAAAAGAAAGAAAAATATTTAATTGACAAAAAAGAATACAAGTAACAATAAACATTGGCAAGGATGTGGGGGAAAAGGGTGCACTCATACATTGCTGATGGCACTGCAAATTGGTGCAACCACTCTGGAAAGCAGTATGGAAATTCCTCAAAAAACTAGGAATGGAACCAACATTTGACCCAACTATCCCACTCCTCAGTTTATATCCAAAAGATTTTAAATCAGCATACTACAGAGACGCAGCCACATCAATGTTTACAGCAGCTCAATTCATAATAGCTAAGCTATAGAACCAAATAGATGCCCTTCAACAAATGAATGGAAAAAAGAAATTGTTGCATATTATAACAGTCATAAACAAGTATGACTTTATGATGTTTGCAAGTAAATGGATGGAACTGGAGACTATCATGCTAAGTGAAATAAGCCGGTCCCCTAAAACCAACAGTCGAATGTTTTTGTTGATATATGAAAGCTAACCCACAATAAAGAGGAAGATAGAAAGAACAGATATTCAATAGAATAGACAAAAGGGAATGAAGGGAATGGAGAGGAATGAGAAAAGGAAAGGCAATGGAATGAATCCAAAGTCATTTTCCTATGTACCTATATGAATACACATAGCAAATCCCACGATCACATACGTCCATAAGAATGGAATCCTAACTAGAATATGGTAAATGGCATACACTTACAATTATATCAAAATAAATTCTAATGTCATGTGTAACTGAAAAGAACCAGGGCTGGGGAACTAGCTCAGTTGGTAGAGTGCTTGCCTTGCATGCACAATGTCCTGGGTTCAATCCTTGGCACCAAAAGAAAAAAGAACCAATAACATTTTTTTTTAAATCTGCATAGAATGGTTTTACAATTCTATGTAGAATGGAGTTACTCTGATATTTATCTTTTTAAAAATCTATCTTTTAAAAAATATTTATTTTTACAGATAGCTTATCATTTTTATGATTTTTATAAATGGAAAAAAATTTCTTCACCACAAAAAATTAAAAAAAAGAATTTACTAGCTTCCATGAGTGTGGAAAGTTCTTTAAATTCCCCTAGAACCTACTTTATAAGGTGGCTGTGAAGTTTAAGTAAGAGGTATAAATTACTCATCACAAATCTATGTATAAAGCATGTGCTCAAAAATTAGCAGCTATTAGGTCCATTAATTCATTCACTACAGAAGAAGGTATGAAAAGAGAATTTAAGAGTACCAAAGAGTGAAAATAGAAGGTATTGATGAAAGCGGTAAGTCAGTGGCCTCCATACCCCCTGGAATGTCTACTGTCTCAGGTGGTTAGAAGTCTGGCCTACCAAAGCCCAGCAGACAGGGTACTGTGAGGAAGAAGGAAGCCACACGAATCCACCACCTGAGGACTCTTGCAGTTATCTACCATCACCACCAGGACAGCAAACTGCCCCCTGCCCTCTGCCCCCTTTCTGGGCTACCAGTCTGGTGAACCTGCACTGATAGAATGCCCTCACCTGAAGCTGGGCCAAGCGGAGGGTCCCTGCAATACTGAATTCCTCATGTTATCACAGGACACACTGGGAAACAAGATGAAGTATTCTCAGCCAGCAATTAGATCTTTCAAACATCTCATGTTTTATAAATATTTGCTCTTGAATCTGGCAGAAGAAGGTGGCCAAGGTCTGTCATGAGTAGGCCTGGCTTCTTGCCCTGATCCTGGTCTCACCTCTGGGAACCTAAGTACCTCAGTTTCTCAGGGCCTCAATT